GAGCACCCCGGACGCGGACCCAGCGCTTCCCTCCGCGGACCAGCACCCCCACTCCCCACCCGGACTCTGCCCCCGGGGCCGGGGCTGGAGCTGTGGTGGGAGGAGAGTTCTGAGCCCCAGTGGTTCTTCTGCAGAACGCACCCCGCGCGCCGGGCGAAGGGCTGCTCCGCGATCCCCACTCTGCTTCCGTAGGACATTCTTCACCGCCCCCCAGAGGTTGTGCAGGGCCAGGACCAGGAACCCCACGAAGGCCCGAAGAGAGGCGGCCGCAGAAAGACGCCCCCTCTGCACCCGGAGCGCTCGGGCGTGCAGACTGCCGAACCCCAAGGAGCCAGGCGACCTGGTCACCCCGAGTCCCTCTGCCAGTCCCGCGCCCAGAGCCCGCCCGAGGCAGAGCTGTAACCTCGAGGGAGGGGCGCTGCCGCCGTCTTGCTTCGGGAGGAGCCTTTTGTCCCCTCCCGGCCCCCCCCCCCGGCGCCTCGCCGGTCAGCGGCGCGTGGAGTGATTGATATTCCGAACATTGCCCCTTCCTTCCGCACCAGCCCGCGCACTGTCTGCCCCGCGTGCTTTTCTCCATCACTCGCTCACGTTCTTCTTTAAAAAAAAAAAAAAGGAACGTGGTCCAGACCCGCAGGCCAGGGGAGGTCAGGTTAAGCCAGGGGTGAGGCGCGCGAACCGCCCCGCCGCCCGCCCACACCCACGGGCGCCGCGGAACTTCCGTGATCAGCACAGTATCTGCCCCGGGGCCGCGCGGAGCGTGCAGTCCCGTCCGTCCGTCCGTGGGGAGGTGTGGACGCAGCTCCAGCTTCTAACCTGAGAGGACCTCGGGCTTCCAGCCGGGCCCCCAGACACGTGGGAATGAAACAGAACAGAGACCCAAAGGTAACGGAAGAACGGCGGCCGCGGCGGGCTGCTCTCGGGTGCTCGGTGGAGCTGGGTTTGCAGCCAGCCCAGGGGCGCACAGGGGCGCGGGGCCGGTGTAGCCAGTGTCCCGCTGGAAACGCCCCCTGGCTTTGCTGGCGTCTTTTCTGCGGAGCTATGAGGACGGCAGGGTCGGGATCTGCAAGGTGGGAAGTCTGGGAGCCCACCCAGTGGTTCCGCTCAACGGGTCGGTTTCTCCTCGCGGGGGGGGAGATCGAATGCTTCCTTCCCAAAGCCAGGGGCCCTAAACGTTGCTGCGTTTAGAGCCACCTGGGAGCTTGGAGGAACCCCGACGCCCGCCTCGCATCCGCGTCCCTGTAAGTCCGACTGTCGGAGGAGAGCCAGGCGTCAGGGTTTCCTCGTAACCTCCACGGTGCAGCCGCGTCGGAGAATCACTGATGCAAAGGGGAGCCCCGTGGCCAGCACTTGCAGGCGATGCGAGACGAGATGCCAGCTTCACTAGGTGGGTGGGTGGGTGGGGGTGAGGACGCTGAAATCGGGCGCCTCCGAAGAACGCCCTAGGGCGGGGGGCCGTGGTCCGTCCGCTCGGCCGCAGTCCGGGGTCGTTCTTAGCGGGAAGATCGAAGTTCACTGCCAGGGCCCGCCTGCTGCGCGGTGGTGAAGGCGACGGGTAGAAACTTTGGTGCCTGTGCTGAGTCACGTGGAGCCGGCAGCGGGGGGACGGGGGGGGAGCCCAGCAGGAAGGAACCGGGAGCCGCTGGTGAGTCAGCGCGGGCTGCACCAGGGCGCAGCGGAGCGGGAGCAGGGAGTGAGGACACCGAGTGGCTGGCAGGCTCGCCCCACGCGCCACTCCTGCGAAAGCGCGTCTGAATGTCTGATCGCGATCTGTCGGCGGTCCGGGCCCGCCCTTTCCCAGGTCCGATCCCACCTGCCCCAGGAGTGTCCTCTCCGTGAGGAGGGGAAGCCCAGAGCCGGGGGCGTCTTGCCATCTCTCTGGTGTTGAGGCAAATGGGAGAGAAACCGCGGGGAAAGCGCGAACTCGCTGGGGTTGTTTCGGTTGTGTGGAGCAGAGAGGAGGAATGTGCAGTACGTACGTTTTGGATACAAAGGAGTCCAATACTGTTTGATTCCACATTGGAGGTGGGTTAAAGGGTCTATTCAAATAGACATGGTTGTCCCTAACATTTTATTTACATGGAATTTTATGTTTGCTATTAACCCAAGGTTTTCTGCTTTTTTAAAAAAGTTATCTCCAAAGATCAGCCTAAATAAGATGGCCTGCTTAAAGATGTACACAAAATTTATTAAATACTTACTTTTCTTATTTGTATTAGTTTTTATACCTCTCCTTTCTTCATGTTGTTTTTTTTAATCCTCAACAGAGGGTATTCATGTTGTTGTTTTTAATCCTCAACAGAGGGTATTTTTTCCATTAATTTTTTTAGAAAGAGTGGAAGGGAGGGAGAGAGTGAAGAGAGAGAGAGAGAGAGAGAGAGAGAGAGAGAGAGAGACACCATTTGGTTACCTCCTGCTACCAGGCTGAGGATCTGGGATCAAATCTGCAACCCAGGTATGTGCCCTTGACTGGGAATCAAACCCAAGACCCTTGGTGTCCAGGGCCAAACGCTGTAACCATTTGGCAGCACTGGCCAGGGCTCTTTATAATGTGTGTGTGTGTGTGTGTGTGTGTGTGTGTGTGTGTGACCATGACTCTCTCTACCATTGCCTAAATGCTTTCTTTCCCATTCTTAGTC